TATTAAAGAAAGCACAACACAAGACTTAGGTTTTGTATATTTAAGTCATTATACTGCAGAAAGTGACCAGACTTAATGACTACAAAAATTAGAGATAGATTTTCAACAACTCCTCCTCTCAGGAAAACTCTATTAACTCAGTCATTTGACACCACAGTGCTTCAGCACGTGGGTAAAAAGGTCGTAACAGTGTCGTAACAAGGCATTTTCCAATGTGTGTTTAATTCCAAACTACCCTCTGATCATCAAATAAACTGAGTAGTATCAGAGACAGGAGACTGCACTAGCTCAACTAATTCGGTTTGGGTTGGCCTTTTCTCTGCTTTCCCTTTTTGGAGGTAATAGCCTTCCTGCACTACAATGGCTCCAGGCATCAGTTACCATATTCTTGTAGTAAATACAGAATGGTCACAACAGCTGTTTACAAAATTAATTTTACAAAAATTTAACTATTAAATGCCGCTTAATTCTATTCAATTCAATATATTCATCGCCCCAAATAAGCAAGCGATAGCAACAATGTTATAATTTCCATTCAGTTGCTAGATTCCCCAGCAGAACCTAGGAAAAAGGAAAAGGTTGGAAAAAAAAAATCTGTGCTTTAGTTTTGGCTAAACTTACATCAGCACACTTCCTATAAAACCAACACTGAGTGTTGACAGTAGGGAGCCTTTATGTTAGCTCTATACAGGCAGAGATAAATACACTACATACAAGGCTTAGCCACAAAAGCCCTTTCCTACCTCCCTCAATAATAAGTTAATTTCTTGTGACTCTTTAAATCATTACTAAATGTTTCGTAGAATGCACTACATGCTCTTGGGATGGGGCATGTCAGGGCAATCCATAACTTGTACTTGAAATTAAGCACCTGCTCAAAAGCACTGTGTTGGTTTACCTAAGGCTGATCATATGATGGGAAAATAGAAACATACTGAATATATTTTATTCTTCATGTTTTTCCCCCCGATGTCTGACATTGAAGAATCCCCAGGATTATTCTAGATTCTGTTTCTCTTTCCTACAGAAACCTCCTGGTATGTCCTGGATCCTCCTTCAGTCTGCAAGTCTCCATCTATGCTGTTGCAAATAAAAGAATTTCTCAACATTGGAAAGAATCTCATACTGTTACACTTTGTTCTAACATCAGCTTTTCCATGTAAGAATGTCAAAATCCCATGGACTCATATTATCCTGTATGGTTAACAAATATGAAAAGTCAAGTTTATTTTGTGAAATGCGTGCACCATTAATTGACTTAAAAAAAACCCAAAACAACAAAACAAACAAAAAAAACCAACCAACCAAAAAACCAACCAAATCTGTGTCTGTTCTTCAGAATGCTAACTCTCTGTTGCCATGGTCACAAATTACCATAGTAACATTAGATACATCTGTATTTTTAGATAAAAATTGCTTCTCTTTTCAGAGAAAACAGACCCAACTAAAAGAAAATACTCATCCTTACCAGGAAATACTACTAAAATTCAGAGTATAAAGTAGCACAGCAATTGGTTAATTGCAAAAGCTGGCAGGGGGAAGAGGGCTGTGGGGAGGGAGGGAATCACAAACATTGCCATTTTCAGAGCTGCTTCCTACAGACAGAAAATGGTTTGAATATACAACAAAAATTAAAAAGTGAGGACAGTTATTCTGTAAGGCTATTGTCTCAGCAAGCCTTACTGGATAGTGGCTCAATAAGAATGCCCAGAATAGCCTTTTCAGTCAGAGGTTAATAGCAGTATTATTTCATGAAATATTTCTCCATTAGAGCCCCAGCTTGTTTTCCCCCTCACTCCCATGGAGGACCTTCACTCATACCTAGGAAATATTGCTGTTTAACTGCCATAATTGAACTAACTGTTATGAGACATGTCTCTACTCTCTCATGTTCAGTGGTTTTATGTTATGCTTTTACCCTCTAGTGGACAAAAAGTAATTCACAACCCTCCTAGTGCCGTACTGCCTTTAGATCAGCACTGTGCTAACGGGGACTTGAGGATGTTAAAATGCTGAGTCAAACCCAAGCATCTCTAATTTGAGATTCATTACAGAAATAATCCAAGACAGGAGTCAGAAATGATGAATTAATTAATGCAGTGCTTTCCCAAATAAGGCAGCAACACAAACACAGAAAGTTTATATTCAATACTAGGTTTGACAATCAGGAAAATTTCTCTTCATTTTATAATTTTAGTCAACTTTTTTACTTCTTTCTTTTTGGTAAGTTACTAAGCACTACTTGTGATAAAAACTTAGTTCCTTGGTATGTAAAACTTTATATGCTTGCCATCCTGACTAACTTTCCTCCCAAACCTGCTCCAAAGACCATGACTGAATGCCCTACCTTTGTAAGTCAGTACAGCAATGCATTTCCACTGTGGCCAGAAATGCTTTACTGCTTTACATAGTCTCAGACAGTCATATATTACAGAAGACTTGAGCTTTTGCTCCTTTAGTGTTCACTTATTTTTGCATTATTCCCATAAATGCTACTTCTAACATGATCTGGTTAAACGCTGACAGAATGCTCTTGGTCCAAAGGGTCTGCAGTAAGCGCATTTCAGCCAGAATCCACTGCAAGAAAAGGGAAATATGTCAAACTATGCTATTTGCAATAGATACTTACATTCCACCTGGGAATCTAGCCTTAGGCCTTGTTGTACCAGTTACATGTATCAATCTAGGTCATAGGTTTAAATAACAAAAAAAGGCTAAATTACAGCTCTAATACAGTATATTTCAAATCTCCACAGTCAGTAAAATGGAAGCCAGCCCTTGCTTAATAAGAGTAAACATAAAAAACATAACCAATTCACAGAAGAACAGGAGCTCTGAAAGAGCAAGAAAGTAACAGATAGCTTGCAAGGGGCTTTAGGCAAAGATTTTAGGCATATAAATAGCAATGACCTAAATCTACCTGCAAAGTTGCAAAAAAAACCCAAACAAACAAACAAAAAAAAAAAAACAACCCCAAACACCCACCAACTTGCAACTGTTTCTTTTCACTTAGTATTATTTTAATTCCTATTATCATCAGAAATAGAGCACAAGAAATTCTGACTTTGAATTGTGGGATTCTACAGATAACTGTGTATATGAGCATAGCTAAGTCCAGCATTTGGTTCACCCAAAAATGCAGGCTTTGGCAGGGGACAGAGGGTAGAATTTCCCAGGCAAACATATCCTCTGAAGCTTCCTGCTACTGCTTCTCCAGTGTAACACATCTACAAAAGTGACGAGAGATGCTTGATGTTCATCTGGTCCTCCCTGCAGATCAGCTGCCTGCTGAAGTAAAAGTAAAATTTTATTGCTCTGAAGGGATGAAAGTTTGAAGAATCTTAATGTATGTAGCTCAAGCCCAGTTTGAAAGGGATGGGGAGGCGGGGGAAAGCAAAGGGGGAAAGAAGGAGACAGACAGAGACTGACTCCAAGAGAGAAATCAGGCTCAAAAAAGAAATCAAGCTCTCATCTGTAGAATGCACAGTTAAAGTGTTGCTTGAGGCTCATAAAGTTAGCAGTATTTACTGGACAACTCTGTAACATACACAGCTCATTTTCTACCCTAATGCTATCTATCTATCGATCAATCTATCTCACAGGAAAGGTTCTTAGCTGCTATGCAGTTATTGTCTCCATTTACTGTTGAAACCAACTGTTTTCACAATTTACTCTGCATACCTCAAGATCTTTTTTGAGACCTCTAGGCTTTTTAACAATACCTATAAGGAACATAAGAATGGAGTTATGTTTATAGTGTCTTGCAACAGAGCCAAATTCCAGATGAAAAGTGACCAGGAAACATTTCTCCTCAGTAACACCAGAACGCATTCCCATACAGCATATGCATTTCTGCACATATTATCAGCTCTTAAACACTAAACTCAGCAGATTCCAGACCAGAAATAGCACACAGGAACTGGCAGCGGGTGGCTCTGACTGAACTGAGTTGCGAGGTTGAACCAGATGACCCCCAGAGGCCCCTTCCGACTCTGACACCTCTATGGTTCTACAAGCCCATGTAACTTTGCAGTGCTTTCCTGGTTTTTCACATCTCTGACTTTGGAAGACAACTCACAAAGCAGCACCTCAAGGTGCTTCAGCCAGCATTACAAATTCCTAGTGGCTAAAGCAAGAAAAGCTATAGTACAGACCAGTTCCATAGACATGTCATTCAGCATCTGCCCAGCAAGCAGTAATGTGACAATGTAGCGTCCCCATTAGAATACAACTTTTTTCCCCAGATTTCTCTCTTAGGGAGCAATCCACACTTTCCAGCATTATATGCAACTTTGGAAGACAGAAAGGAAACAGCTCAATTCAACAGCTGCTCTCAAACACACAATGACACTTCACAGTTAACTTGTGAGCCTCCTTGATACAATGCTCTGTGTGGACCAGAGAACCAGCACAGTTCTCCATAGATATCTTACTTTTCTCCTAAGGCACTAAATTTCCTGCTGATTAAGATGGCACAGAATAAATAACCATTTCTGGAAAGTTGTGATTCTCTTGTTTTCCAAGGGAGTATATTGTGAAGGAGTCATACTTCCAAGAGCGATGTATAAAAAAAAAAAAGCCCAGCACTGCAAAAGCACAATGAGTGGAAATCAATGCACTAAAATGAGGGAAGGTGAAACTTCCCCAGAACAAGCTTTGCAATTTTAAGAACACCAGCACCCCTCTCTATATATATGCTCTACATACCAAGGAAATCATTCTAGTCTAAAGGAAATCAGTCCCAGAAATGTAAAGCTGGAGAATCACAAACTCCATTTTAAAAAAGTAGGTAACAATGTTAAGGTAAAGTGTAAAGGTCTAAAACCTGACAGTTGTCTCCCCTGTATTTTCATATTTCTTACCCACCACGGAGGATTATTGCCAAACAAGAAAACGCTTTCCCTTTTATGCAACAAATCATTAAGTTTCTTACACAGGAAACCCCATTTCAGTATTTTCTTTTCCAACAGCAAAACACTGACTCATCCTACTACAAAGCATGAAAGTAAAACATTTCTTTTCAAAAGGCAGTCATGGCTTCAACTTTGTATGTCATGGTACAGGTATTTTAGGATAACCTTTAGGCACACGACCACACATACCACCCTCTTTAGCCCTCACCTTCAAGTATCATTTTCGATTACTGCACTTCTCTCTATGGCCAGGCAGATTAGGAAAAGACTCTAAACATTTACCAAACACAACAGGGTTCTACTGCTAGGTGAAGATTTAACCATTTGCTTAATTGCATGATGAAGCCCACAGATGATACTGAAGAGAAACTACATTCCAGCATTTCCCGCTGAAAACACCGAACAGCAGCTGATAAAAGCATTTTATCAAAACAGCACATTCAGCGTTCTCATTAACAAGAGAATTTCTGTGCAAGACAGTGCATCCAATGCAGAACTAGATCTAGAAGCTCACTAAGAGGTCACGTGGGTGGTGGGAGATCTGCAGTGGCTTTGATCAAGCAAAACACAATCTAGCAGTCACACTTGTACTACAAGAAGAAAACAGTATCCATGCTAAGACATTGGTCTTGCTCTGGGTAAGTTCTGCTCCTTGACATCATCAGCTTCATATCACACACTAGATAGTCCCTGACTCTAATGTAGACTCCCTCTTGCAACCAAAAAGCCAATTCCCTTGTATAAAGAAAACTCAGAGTAAAACTGACCTGTATTTACCCACAAGCTAACGACATCAAGCATCAATGCTAAGTAAATGCTACTTAGCACAGGCCCCAGCTCAGGAAGACAAAGACAAATCCAAATACCAGAACTGAATCTTCAGAAATTCTTCCTGTGCTTCAAAGCAGAAAAGCCATTACAAACAAATGAATTTTAGAGAAGATTCTGGAAAGTAGCTCTGTGGAAACGCAGTAATCGTAGACTATCACAGTGCATGCACAAGGAAAGGGCAAGAAGAACAGCACAGGGGGAGACTTGGCTTCCAAATCAAGTCCCTCACAATGATTTACATAAATAATTTGCTATGCACAATTTTAATTTTGAAAAAAAAAAAAAATCAAGAAACATGGTCATAGACATACTTGGTATCTTGGTATACAGAGAACAATGGTTCTCTCTTGCTCAGTACAGTAAAGTCTAGGACAGCAATATCTCAAAAGTGGATCTTCCACATAACCATGAAAGATTTTATCTGTTGTCTGGAGAGAGGAATTTCCTTTGGAAACAGCAAGTATTCCTGCTTCAGGACATGCATTTGCATGTGCTAGTAAGACACAAATATGAAGTTTGCTAATAAACTTAAAAAGAACAAAATAATTGTGTTTTTTTTATGAAATGCAGAGCCAAATCAAGCATTTTCTACTGGCTTCTGGATAAGGCCTCGTGGATAATTTAGGACAAATATTTCTGACAAGACGCAAGTTTCTAACATGGACTGTAAAGTTTAAATTTTTTAAAGCTGCAAAAAATAGTAAACCCAACTTAATTGGCTTCCTGAAATAACTGGCGAATTCAACAGCAAACAATTTGCCAACAAGACAATGGAAAACAAGAAAAAAATTCAGTCCTAATCTTCAACTTTATAAACTTTTGAAAGGCTATTCTCTAGGACAGAAATACTTGTGGAGCATTAGCTGCAGAAGTGCTTCTATACCTTGTCGACAGCAAAATACTGGGCTCTGTGAAGAATTCACTGTCATTTCAGAAATGTGACAACAAAAGTATGGGATGCAAACACCTGCATGTAGGAGCCAGGTTCCTTTAATAACTAATTTCAGTGAAAATTAAGACCATCAAGTATTCATTCAGACATCCATGTCTAAAATGGTGCACCTTCATTATGGATCTTGATAACAAGAACCCTACTCTTAAATTTTCATAGGCTCAGCCAGCATGTGTACAGGGGTTCTCCCCTTAACAACGTTCAAGGGTCTAGTATGGCTTGTCATTATGCAAATTTTCTCTCTAGCACTACAATTTCCCTCCCACAATACATATTCTACGTTCCTTGTAGTTTTCTGTCCCAAGTGTTAAGTATTGCTCGAGTCTCAGGACGCCGATAAGCACGGCACATATCAGACAGAAAATCTGTGCAAGGGCTGCAGCAGGATAAAGCAAGAGGACAGATTAATCAGTATTCACCAGTATTGTGCCCTAGTGCCCGCTTTTTATCCCCCAGAAACAAAATCCTGAAGTTAGAGGAACTCAACTTCAGGTTAATAAATCAACTGTTTCAGTTCTTATGTCCTGAGGATTGACTCTCCTAAAGCTGAGAGGTGAGGGCTTCTGAAATTCTCAAGTATGTTTGCAGACTATTTTGAGACAGATTTTCCCCAGACATCTGCTAGAATAAAAGAATTTGTCTGAAGTAACAAGCAACACAACGACATGAGTTCAACCACTAAATGGCAAAGCGAGTATGCTTGCCATGGAACTGCATGAGACTCGCCTCATTCTGATGCTCTCAGAGGAATCAAAGTGAGCATTAGAACCTGAAATAAAATTCAAGCAGTTTAAAAAAGAGCCAAAATCTTAGAGATGTCACACTTTTCTTCTCAACAGTAACTCCTACCTACTCCATCATATAATGTGCATGTAATAGCACATTTCCTTTATCAGTTTTTCCAATGATCTCCCTTCCAGAAAAAATTATCACCTTCCAGAAAAAATAAAATTAAACACAATCTCTTCATCTTCCAGTATGAGTAGTGGGAATCTAGCATATACCTCCCATGAGCCAGTCCTTTATGTTCAAAAGCACTCAGTATACATCACTTTAGTCACTTTCTCAAAGGCAATGGACATATCAGGTATGGTCCCTTCTTAAGGAATATGACTCATGATGGGCACTTCTTAACGACACACAGCTGCAGGAGAATACCCAGAGCAAGAGAAGACATTTTTGAGAGCCACCCACCCTATAGAACTCCAGCTTCTGTGCAATGGATGTCTCTAACCCTAGTCAGTTTTTCCAGCAAAGATTCTCAACTAGAGTTATACAGTGGGAATTCCAAAGCAACTGGCTATGTACAGACATATCAGCATTCCCTCCAACAGAGAGATGAAAAGGAGAAAATTCCTGAGGATTTGTATCCTCTGCTCTGCTTTCTGAATCCCAGCCTCCCCCTTGCCTTGGAATGAGCTCTGTAAAGCAGTATCGGTTATGTACAAGAATCTCAGCTCCCTTCCTTTGGAGAGTTTCCCCATAAAAAGCGAAAGGCAAATCCCAGGACAGAGACAGGTGCTGGGGGGGGCAGGTCGCCTTAGGATGACTCGCCAGAAGCAAGAGAGCCAGCAGCTTTCTTCTTAGGGCGGGCTTTTACACTTCTCACTGGAAGCTGAGGAGAAATAAAAAGAGGCATCTTAGGCTAGTTTATTTTAACATCTAAACGTGTAACAGAAAGATGCAAGAATGCAGAGTGAAAAATAGGACAAAACAACAACAACATGACCCTAATAATGTCATCTGTTGTCTCAAAATGTCTGTTCAACCATTCTTTTTTTTTTTTTTTTTCAATAAACAAATCACTCAACATATCCATCAAATAGCGACCAGAAAAAGGCATTCTAGAACAAGGTAGGTACAGTAGTAAAGTCAAAGCCGGCTGTCCAAACAAAAGGTTAAACACAGATATTTCTGACTGGTAACATTCACATAACATTTCACTGCTCTAACTTTTCTGCTTCTTAACTTCCATCACCAGTGCAGTTCTCTGAAAGCTGTAGAAACAACCTGAACTAATTTGCACACTTTACTTCTGTGTCTTACATTCTAGATATTGGTAAGAAGAGCACATTTATTCATCTGTGATGCATTCAGCCTGGGCTGGCAATCTCAGAGATCTCAGTCAAAGACCTCCCACAAGTCCTGCATCTGACCCAAAGACCCAACAATCTGAGCATAAATACCAATATGCCTGCAAAGGGCTTTATCAGTACTTCCGTATTCACAACAAACAGCATAGAAGAGTTCTTTCTGTCTTTTCATAATTTCACTTTGAAAAGCCCTCACTAGGAAGCTTCCACTCAAATTTTGAGCCTCTTGTTTCCCTGCTCCTGTCTAACACAGAAGACAGGAAAGAAGAGGGGTCAACTCCAAAACAAGCCATAGAAAGATCCCAGTTAAATTAAAATGCATCTTTGGACAGAGATGTCCGTTTTTGGAGAAAAATCAAAAGCCACCTGGACCTGGTCCTGGGAACTGGCTCTACACAAGCAGTGGGTTTGAACCAGGTGAATTCAGAGAACCCCTCCAACCTCAACTATTCTGTGATTCTATTACAAGGAGCACTGAAGCAAATGCAAAGGTTTCCCATACACTGTAAAATCAGGTTAACAGTACAACTTAAAATCACACCCTAAGCAATTACTTTCCTTCAAACTATTTCACATTTAGCCTGAATAACTCGGCAATGTGAGTCACTTATATAGCATTCTTTATCTAAGATAAAAATAATAACATTAGAAGTCCAAGTTGAATCAAGCAAATAGGACGCATTTTATCATGTACAAATCAAACCATAAGAAACACGTAAGCAAGTGTCAAGACCTGGAAAGTAGCACCTCAAAAAGCATTTTCTACAAAACACACCTGAAAACACCTGGAAAAAAGATTGCTAAGCTCAAGTGATTCTTGGACACAACTGCATCTACTTTCATGTATGGTTTATTTTAATAATAAGAAATCAGACATCTCATGTCCCACTGAATGGCTGTAAATACCTTGGATCATCATGTGAACAGAAGGAGACAACTGAGCAATCACTAGTTACTCAAACTTTGAGAACAAACTCCAGGAATGGGGTAGGTAGGACTGGTGTAATTTCCCACACCTAATGTGCAAAAGTCAAGGGAGGCCTAAGAGGGTACACAACTCCTGCATTTAGATTAAGACAAAGTGGCTGTCCCAGGGATAAATGTCACTATTACGTATTCAGACTGTAGCAGATAGGAGAGAGGATATTGTCAACAAAACATGTTAAAGATATCTAATGCTCCACCCTTCAATACAAAATCCAGATGAAAGAAAAGCTGGGTTCTGGCTTATGACAGAGGCTTACAGGCATGATAAAAATGCAAAAGCTAGAGACAAGTATAGCAAGTAGACGACAAGTCCTCTGATATAGGACTCAACTAGAAAAGACAGTCCAACAAAATTTATATATATAGCTTCTAAATGCTGAGACTATAAATCTAGAGCCTTTCAACCAAGCTCACAAATCAATGTCAGTGCTGGAAATTATTTATACACCAACTCACTTCAGCTTTCATCACCTTTTTAGGAGTTTTGAGACTCTGGGTACGTTTAGGAAGTTTGTCTCCTGCATCTTCATCTGATGGGTCTGTTCTAGTATCTGACGGGGTTCCATTAGACCGATGTGCCACACTGCTCTCCTCTCCTGAGGAGTAACACGAAGCTAAGGAACAAGAGCAGAAGTTTTAGCAAATACTTTTAAAGAATCTCATGAGGTTTAAAATGGCCCATCCTCAAGGAACACATGACAGAGAGACCATCTTGAATAATGATTATGGGATAAGTATGGAATAAGTACAGAGATGTATATTAAATGAGAAGGCTCTAGGGAAGACAATGCAACTTCTCACAGATAATTTACAATGTTGTACTCCTTTCTGAGACCCAAAGCTCAGGGAAGCCCTCCTGGCTCACAATCAGAGGTCTCATACAATGGCGAGCAGGTGCTCTGTACCTGAGTCTTCAATAGTTTCCAGAAGACTTGCACCAGAGGGGTGCAGCTGTGGATCACGGCTTCGCATATGCACAGTATCTTCATCTCGGATCAGAGTGAGATCCTGCATGCTGAAACTTCGAAGCTTCTCAGACAAAACTCCCTGGCCCTAAGAGGACATAAAATTAGGGCGAAAGGCACCTCACTCCACTCCCCCTCTACTTTTTCTAAGTCAAAGGATGGGATTATCTGCAGGGCAAACTGGAAGGAAGGAAAAGTAGGTTGCTGCCAAACAAGTACTAGTATCCCTAACAGACCCACAGCACCTAACTGCTGGTACACAAAAATAAACTGCTGGAGAATTCATGAATATTACAGAAGGCACTACATTACCTTTGCAGCTGCAGTAACCGCTGCATTGGCAGCAAGGTTTAACCCTCTCTTGCCAACTCGCATCATGGTTTCGTAGCTCTTGTCACAAGCCTGAGTAATGTATTCATCAATTTCCTAGGAATGCAACATGGAACATGGCATTTAGTTGCTCGTTACAAACATGATCAAAGTTTCCCCATTGTCACCCTTAAAAACACAAAGCTCATCTCTTTTTTCAGACTATTAGCATCAGGTGTCATTGATCACATAACTTGAGCTTCTCTGCTAATTACAGAAAACATGTAAATGCAGCTTTAAAATACAGTATGCTATTTCCAAATTATAACTACTGCAACAAAGCAGTTGCTTATACCAACAATGTGAAAAAACAGACTGGCTACAGAACATGCTCCTCCTATCGTGATTCAAGAGGCTTAACTACTGACAGTGACTGTAAGGGCTCATGACACTGGGTTAGCCAAACATGCTTTCTAAGCATTAGGCAAAGTATTGGCTACACTGCAATCTTCAGTAAGCTGCAGTATGCCATCATTGTCAGACACAGAATCATTCTACATTCACTAAGGTCAGCACAAGCAAGATTCACTGATTTCAGTTTTTATTGTGGCATAACTGAATTAGAAGTCAATCAGGTGCCAAGAGAGGTCAGTATCTTCCAACAAGCAAGTACCTTCTCCTTATTGGAGAGCGTTGGGTGCACAAACTTCCTGTAGAGGACACTGGAGCCCTTGGTGTAAGGGGAGAGCAGCCAAATCACAAATGCGATTTTCAGCTCGAAATAAAAGGGAAACCTGAGAGAAAGAGGAAAAAAAAAAAAAAGAAGAAGAAAGAGAAAGATGGAGAACTGGAATCAAGATCAGCACAGAGACAGATGGAGATAACTAGCAGAGAGCAGCACAGGCAGAAAGAGCGTAGGCAAGGTAAAGGCTCAGAAACAAGAGAATCAATTATTCAGGTCAGAAAAGCAGAACCCTTTTTAGAATCCTAGGACATACCTTCTTCGAGTATCATTTAGTCTTTCATCCATAGCCATGAAAACTCCATAAACAGGGCATCTCTCAGCCCTGCAAACACACCAAATTACAATCTGATAGCTACTCTCATCATTCTGAAGTTTCTTCAGAGAGCATCCACTGGATGTTAACATCACATTATTTTCCCTTCTCAATTTTCAAAATTTTCAACTATATATCTTAGTAATGTCACATTGCTGCTAAAGCTGATGGCTGTTTCTGAAACTTCCAACAGGTACTCCTCAGATAAGACACAAAAGCAGGGCCAGTGTAAATGAAAAAGAGCAGGCAGAACATATGCCTGTCCTCTCTAACCCTTACCCAATAAAGTCCAAGAAGATACAATAGCAGAGATTGAAACAAGTGAATGCAAATTCTCTACTGACTCAATTAGTAGGAAGAAACTCCTGTTTTCAGAAGTCTTTTATGTGAATAAGCTGAAGTTCTTATACTTTTTCAATCTTTGTCTGCTTTTCAGATTTTATGCAGGTAAAAACAAAGCTGCTGAGCACTTTTGTATGGTATGTACAGTACTTCATGGCTCTTAAGAAGATGAAACTCTTGACTAACATTGTTTCAGAGGTGTATGCAAAGCTCAAACACTAAAGCAATGAGGCAACTGAAGATACCCAGTTTCAAAGTTGAAGCCCTGTAACAATGAATTGTCATTTTTGGAGGCCTCCATATTGCCAAGCATGACACAGAGCATGGAATGGAGTAACAATCTGCTTTCTTCTATTCCAGTCTGTCCCACCCTTCCTAGGGAAAGCCAAGTTCATCATGCAAACCACTCACAGCACTGACATGCGTGTGATCTGTTCTTCCACATAAAAGGCTGTCAAAGCAAAATAGGTCCCTTCCTTCTACCATTTTTAAGGTGTCTTTTAGACTATCATTTTTCAAACTGTACCAGTTCACATTAACAGCTTCTCAAAAATATTTCAAGTTATGAATGGATGAAGATCCTTTTACAGATACTGTGTATTTACCCTAACTTTGCAAGCAAAGGAGTTGAAACAGCTAAGATGGCAGCTGCTACCCACAGTATCTCGAAACCTGCTAACTCTTCACAGGGACTGAAAACTCCTAAAGGAGACAAGAGTTGATTTTCTTAACATCCTAACACTTCTCCTCTCTGCTTAAAAAAAAGGCAAAAAACCAAAACAAAAACACAGCAATAACAAAAAAAAACCCCACAATGTGCCACTAAGGAACTCACCAAGAAAGAACAATGTCTGTGAGTGTTTCTGCAGTGGTGAAAAAGGCAAATACAATCCAGTACATCATCCACTTCACCTGCAAAAGAGCAGTCACTCAATGGGAATACATCAGAACCCAGAAAAAAAAGTAAAATGTCTTCTCAGTATAAATGACTCATCTCCACACATTAAGACGGATTCAAAAAGAAGGCATATATAATCTGTAATGGACACATACTAAACGGTACATTTTGGTCTGAGAAAACATGTAGGATTACTGTGCTCTAAATAAACACATACAGATACAATTATGTTCATATAATAATGACTTGTTGATGAATGCATGCCCTGGAGCAACATTATGGGTGCAACAGCGTTAAGGTCCCAAATGACCTATCCAAAAGGATTTATCCATTCACTTTAAGTAAAGTTACACTCTTCCGTATTTCATGAATACCATAAAAAAATATATACACGCACATATGTAAAAGCTTAAGTTTCAGCTGCAGCCCTGTATTTTCCTGATGTAAAGATTTTCCTTAGGAAAAAAAGAAAAACAACAAACCAAGAAACATATTATTTTGTGCTAACTCACTAGTAAGCATTCTTTGCCTTAATCATTACTCCCAGAAATCACATGAGCAATTAATTTTTCTTTTTAAATAAAGGCTCACTGAGAGAGGTATAAAAGCAAAGAACATGCCACATCAACCTAATCTTCTTGTTTAAGGTTTAGAGTAGATGTATGTACTATTATGACACATTTGGACACCTTTTATCTATCTCTCTACTTCCTCATGCCCTTATCTGGGGCAGTATTTCTTTCAAAGCACAAATTAATTCCCCCCTAACAAACACAGATACACACTGCTGTTTTGGTAACTGGTTTCTCAGCTACAAACTTAGAATTCATTCAGCTTACTCTTCAAGAGGAGTCAGCTGAATTATAAGGGAAATTGCTAGTTTTCTATCCTGTTGAGAATTTAAAAAGAGCATAAGTAGCAGATAAATGAAGAGGACACCTCAATTAAAAGCAATTTAACACCCTTAGTGTCATCAAGAATGGGAAAAAAGGACTGAATCAGGGAAATGCCACATACTAAATCCATACATTAATCAATCTATAAAAATTACACAAGCAATTATGTTCATATAATAATGACTTGTTGACAATCCTTGCAAATACTATAAAAGCAGGTATTTCCCCAACCTTGCATGTGTTGGAAAATTTGGTGATCTGTTCTTGATTCTCCACAAGTTTCTCATAAAAGAAAATTAATCTGCCTCCAGCTGCTCTAACACAGTGAATGAGTAGTTAATAATCCAAATTATTTCCACTTTACTGCAAACTCTTTTAGAACAGAAAATAGCAAAAACTTGTATTGTATGGCTCTCTCCTGCCTTTTTTTTTTCTTGTATCATCAGTTTGGACAAGACTAGTAGCCATTCAGCTGATCTACAGCAACTTTTTGGAAAGAATGATTAAGTCCTCAGTGCAGCAACACGAATCAGCTCTTGTATGAAGAAGTGTGTGAATAATGATAAATCTAAGTTTGCAAAAAGGGATCCAAAAGGGTGAGAGATTTCAGAAAGCCTATACACCAGTAAATCTTACTTCAGCATTAGGCAACATGAAGGTAATAATAGTAATAAAAGCAATTAGCAAATACCTACATATATATAACAAAACAAAGATTAAGGTCTGTTTTCAGCAAAAAAAAAAAATCACAAGTATAGCAGAACTCTTAGGTTTCCATAAGACTCTGCTAGCTATCGTGCTTTCCTTACAGGGCAAGGGTATATTAAACTTCTAAATAGTTTCTAACGGGTCTATACAAACACTTAAAGAAACAAAATCGTCAGGGATAAAAATGAAGGGACTATTGAGGATTAACAATTGGTTAAAAAAAAGGAAACAAAGGATAAAAGTAAATGGCCACTTTTCACAATGAGGAAAGTTACCAGTGGAATCCCACAGGAATCTGTTGAGATCTGTGCTGCTCATCTTCATGAAACATCTGGAAAAGGCTGTGAATAGTGAGATGACAAACTGTGCAGAAGATACTTTTCTATCCAAGAGATTAGATAGGAGTTGATTAAAGAATTCAAAAAAGGATCCTGATTGATCTCCAGCTGACATTTTGTCTCTAAATGGGATTAAATACAAAGCAATGAATTTACAGTGTCTCCTTTTTCTTAGTGAAAACTATTGCATTTACATATATTAGTAGATTTCACTCAAAAGAGGTCACTGCCGCCAGCCTTAGTGTAAGCTTTGTGCTTATTTTTCACTCTCCTAACAGAATGTTTGGAGTATGAACTGAGAACAGAAAACATTGTTTTGTTACTGTTTAAATAAACTTCATGTTCACATCTTTGATATTGGACACATCTCTTGCCTCTGTCTCCTTCTGGCACCCTTCACCCTATGCTTTAAAGCCAAGGAAAAAAAAGAAGTATAGCTCCTAAACAAACTAGAAGGATTCTACTTCTAGTTTTAGAAGTCCCTGCAGATGATCAGAAACTAAAAGAGCAGAAAGCAGATGGGAAGAAGCCCTATTTTTTTTCTTACAGATTACAAACACCTTCCAAAATTGTGGGCTGAATGAGGCTGCATTTTGTTTTTCAATTTACTAAAAGCAGTCAGGAGTCATTTGCAGCTCATCCTGATGATGACTGGCTTCAGGCACATATATAGTCTCCCGAACTTGCACCAAGAACCTAAACAAATTCAGCAAATGCAAAAGCAAAACTGGAATGTAGACTTGACCAATGCTGAAGACAACATGTAAAAAGAAAGAAATTGCTTTTAGGACAATCTGAGCTACTAGAAGTAGTTTGCCACAACTGATCAAGGATTTATACTGAATTTTTATCATGGTGGTAGAGAACAGTAAATTTGCACTGTACTCTGGTGTCACTGATGAACTGTTTGTGGTAGCTTTGTCCGTGTCAAGTCAAGCTTCACTACACCACTTAAGCACAGATACACCTCTAAGACCTTTCACCACCACCAAACCCTAACCAATGCTGGTTCTTAAGCACTATGAGCAAGCAGCAGTACATAAAAAAGCTACATTTGAAAATGGGCAGAACAGCATTCAAGTTTTCTGCTGACTCCTCACATGAAGAGCATTTTGTACAGATATTGCCCCTTCTGCTATGTTTTCTCCTGTCTTTCTACTTGTGTTGAAAAGGAAGAAGTGTTTCAAATGTAACTGAATTAGACAGATGGCAGTCCAACATCTAACTGCTTATTTCTGACGTGGTCCTCTCAAGGAAAAATAATTAATATGCAAGTTTTTGCAGTTCAAATAAATTTTCTTGAACCACTCTGCTGCAGCAATCCAGACCAACTACTTCAGGAAACCTATACCATTGAATCACTAAACAAAACCCAAAAATTAGTGCCATACTTTTCCACATCATAGGTCTTGTCTCAAGTGATCTACTCAGAATATTGCTTCTGTAAGAAGGCAACACACTACCACAAAAAACACCTGGTGTCGTAAGTATGGTAATTGCAGCAAGGGTGTAGACGGAGAGAGGGAAACGGTTTCAGAAGGGAAGGAGAATGAAGTTTTAACCAACATAAAACACTGATTGCAAGCAAAGTTGATAGGAAGCCACAAACTAAGCAGGATTATTCAGCCCTTTGGAAGAAAACAAAAGTAGTACCGAAAAAGCAGTAAAGGACACAAAGCAAGGATAAAGTTACAAGAAAGAACTTGTCCTGGACTTTCATGTGCTTCCAGACTGCAGTGTTTCCCCCACTTTCCCCTCCTCACTCAGCATCGCCTGAGAAAATACAGCCCACATTTACGGGTTGAAACCTCCCATTTCAGAAAGCGCCCATCCTTGGCAGCTTTTCCAGAGACGACTGGAGCTGCTGCTCGGGCGGCCTGGCTGACCCGAGCCCCTGCGGAGCCGGAGTGCCATCGTCCCGGGGACAGGCCGGGGGCTTTCGAGGCGGCCGCGAAGGACGAGGCGGGCGCTGCGCCGGCACGGTGAGCCCGTACTCACATATTCCTTTACGTTTTTCGTCTTCACGGCCTTGTAGGAGGAGTACGCGGGGTAAAGGGTGCCGAAGATCAGCCTACAAGAAGAACAGACCCCTCAGCGCCTCGCGACGCCCCGCACCGTCCCCGGCCGCAGTGGCGGGCACTCCCCCTGGGATGCCGGTGCCGGCGTGATGCCGATCTCCGGGCGGGGCTCAGCCGCCCTCACCGCGGCACTGCCCGTGGGCCGCAGCAGCCCGCGCGAACCCGCCCGTCTGCGGCCGCAGCCATCCGCGAGGGCGCCCGCCCCCCAGCCGCCCCTTCCCGGGCGTGGGGTCCCGCGGGGCAGCACTGACGCCACCGCCAGAGCCCCGCTCTGGGCCGCGGCCCCCGAGGGACCACCGAGGAAGGGCCCCGCCAGCGGCCCGCACCTCCCCGCGCCCCGGCCGCACGCACTCACACCACGAGGCGGGAGATTATCCAGGAGACCATGGCGGCACCGGGCGCGGCTCAGGGCTGAGCAGCGGCGGGAGGCGGCTCTTAAAGGACAGGTTCCTGCAGCAAGCGCAGCTCCGCCCCGTGTGCTCGCATGGGAGGAGCCGACGCGGCGGAGGGAGAGGCCGCAAGGCCTCAGCATCCTCAGCCGCGCTGCGGAGCCCCGCGAGCCCGCCCCGCGCTGGGGGAACACTCCGCGTTCGCTCGCACCAGGCCGGGAGATGCGGCGGGATCCCGGGAACGGAGCCACGGCAGCGGAACGGCAGCAGCGAGGCAGACAAGTGGCGTTCTTGGAACGATGGCAGAGAAGCAACATGCGCAACGTAAGGAAAATTACAGGAGAGTGCTGAATTGAGATCACGAGCACTTGGGAGGACAGAGTAAGAGAGACAGCAGAAGAAGCCATCTTCCTTCCAGTTGCCTCCTCCAGGGAAATCAAGACAACAGCTATTACATGCTGCAAACAGGGTACTTAAGTGTAAAAGCGTTTCAGAGTTCCACGGCTCCGTGTTTCGCCCAAAACAAAACTCAACTAGCCAATACTGACGTTTACGTTATCAAACCAGAAGAATAAAGGCTGTTACTTGTAGTTTCCAGGTAATTTCAGTGTTGCCAGATACTCTTTCTCGTAAGCTGAGAGGTGGTCAAGGATTCCTTTGCTAGCTACACAAACAAGGCTGAACAGTGTATGTGTTGGAATATCCTTAGTGCAGGGTGGGAAATGGGTATAAATGTGTATACTTAAGTATACTGGAGTACCGGAAACTGTTGTATTTTAACAGCTCACCAAGGAATACTGTTAAAAGAATCTTCCTCCTCAATCAATGCCAGAGTTCATTACTGGGTCCCTGGGAGCCTGTAGTATATTGCAGTCATGGATTGATTAGGCCCTGTACACAGATCTCTGAATCACACTGAGATAACTATTACATAAGTTGGTTTTTAATGGAAAAAAAAAAATCACTAAAATCTACCATGGTTCTTCAGCTAACAAAAAAAAAAAAAAAAAACCCAAACAAAACACCAACAAACAAACAAACAAAAACCCCCACAAAAAACCCCCACCACTAAAAACAAAAAAAAAAAAAAAAAAAATCAAATTTAAAACCCCTCCCCCCAAAAAAATCTCACAAAAAACCAGCCAAACAAAACAAAACAAAAACAGAAGGAAGGCACTACAGCAAAGTCTCATTAGTTACCGATGGTTGCTGAAGAGTCTTTATGAAAAGAAATGAGACCAAGGAAAGAGTCATAACAAAAACAAAGAGCTGTTTGGGAAAAAATTTCTCATGAATGCATGAAATTCAGTATAATGAGCAATGAGACAAATACAAAACATTGACAACTTCCCATTACATGCAAGAGATGAAAACACAAATGTCTCTACAGACAGCGACAAAGAACATTTTGTCACAGTCTGCTTTTGGATATGAATGGCCAGAAAATGATTGCATAAGGGACTCCACAATTTACACCACTGATGGCATAACTGACCTACTAATAGGATAAAAGGAATCTGCTTTCACATCTCCAAATAACACGCAAAACCTTCAACAAAATGACTACATTTCTAACTGCATCTGTTTCCTACTGGTGACCAACACAGCAACAGGTCCGTTACTTGCGTAATTTGTTCATGCTTGGGTGAGTGGAAGACACAAACAGGAGGGGGAAAATGCAGAGATCTGGTGAGTAACACACATGATTGTGCGAGAGCGCTAAATAACTGCAGCATGGGTAAGTTACACCTAAATAAAATGTGCCTTAGTGTTTTAAGCTATTTAATGTGCCATGGGGCATTATGAAAATCTACAGTGCATTAGACACAAATGGTGGTAAGAACAACAGAATCTCAACATCGTTAGAGAAGGTGGTGTTGTAAATGTAGTGCTAGCTCACTGTTTAGTAGCATGTTAAGCTTTAGAACAACTTCAGAAAAGGTATTTTAAGCCAGCAATTTACATTAGCAATAAGTTGTTCAATTTTTTCCCTATCATAAATAAAAATGAAAGATTAATTAATTAACTGACCTTTCCACAAGAAGAAACTACTGGTAGTTTAAGGGCTATTTTTGCAATAAAAGTCAGCTGCAGGTTAAGTGAAAATAAAAATATTTATTTGTAGTCTTCTTTTTATTAAGTTATTAGTAATACTGTACAGTGCTGTGTAAATAAGACCTAACCAGGAAAGCAATTCATCACTTGTTTTCAAATTAAGGCTGTATGGGGTTTTTTTGCAGCTATGTCACTGCTGAAACAACTCATGATAAACTTGTGTTCTACAAGTAGTCCAAATAGGTCACCAAATATCTATCAATCTGCCATGGCTAAACAACAAAGCATGGAAATCAAATAAGCTGTTCCTCGAATAAAGCAGCTTAAGCAAAGCTACATTAAGAAAAATGCCAGGTCAGATTCAGAGATCCTGCTGAAGCTGAGGTTCAGGCAGAAGCTGCAATGATGAAGAAACAACAATTCATCACGGCTCAAGAATATAGGATTCTCTCTGGAAAAGTTTAGCAGACTAAATATGGGTCTTAGGAATACAGGTGAAGTGGAAGAACACAATGGGAACCCTCTCTGAAGCATTAAAGTGCAGATTGTAGTGGAAGAGTATCAAAAGTCGAAAGAAGTAAGGAAAACAGAAAAAGTGCAAGCTGACAGCCAAAAATGACACTGTAAGAGCTGGAAATTGTTCTGAGAACATTTCTTTAACAGTTTTGCTTTGCGACTGAAAGCTGTTCTTTTAGAAGATACCTTCCTAGAGGAAACAGCTGTACTTTGTTGTATCCAGCTCTTGAAACTTATATTACCATTTTCCTATTAGACTATATAAAGGCAGAGATAAATAAAAAGCTCCCCTGCAAGGCGGGGGAATGAGGGACATAAGAGAGAAAAGTAAGATGATTTCTGCCTGGTTATTTTTCAAATACATGGTGGGAATGTGCAGCTCTTTTTCAAAAGTTGAGAATAGGAATCTTTAAGACACTGCCAATTGAGAGGAAAGAAGCTGTGGGCTGATTTTAGATTCTGAGATGCACTGGAAGATAGTAAACACAAGAAGGCATTGGCAAGCATACCAGCTATTGGGGTAAGTTTGAGGAAACACTGAAGTTGACAATCAGAAGATAAGATTCATTACTGTGACCAGAACTGGGAAGATGCACTGTCAACATCTCCTTCTATGCTACGCTTCACTCACATGCTGTGTAGTTTCACAATCATTTTCCACTGAATCAATGCTTACAAGGTGTGGTTGATACATGAATAAATCACTAGTGTGTCATACACCTCAACCAATACCTCAACTGTAGAAGCTCAGAGCTATCCAAGGGCTATCAGGAGTGAGGAAGAAGGAAATTATACATACAGGGGAGCAATAGTTTTAAATAATATTCATGCCTCATAACTTCTTTTATCTTATTTGGATTGTAATTAAATTCCAGTTACTGCTTAGCATCGGATTTCACTGCTCCAATTCTGATTCCACATCTTCAGGTTTTACAAAAGGCTGTCCAAGAATCTTTCACAGAAACAACACACGGAACATAACTTTAGATGTGTTAGGTACTTATTTTTTTCCTGTATTTATGTTGCCTGGTACAGTTGCATCAGAGTAAAGATTTAGGTTTTGTAAAATTAAACCTTGCATGCTGCTACATTTTTATTCATTATCAAGAAAAGGGAGGCTTTTGGTTGAAAAGACATCAGAGTTTAAAGCCCATATTCAAAAATGGTGCTGCTCACTGTCCCATGCTCCTCCATTTGGTAATGGCAAGAGAGCATTAGATAGAATAAGTGTGATGGCTGCAGCAAACTATATTAAGTCATGTAACTCAAGTTTTTATTCTCCCTCTGCTAAAGCCTCTATGATTTTATGATGTCTGCTTTAATCTGCTTACATTCTATGTAACATACCAGCTGCCCGTTAAAATCTTGATCTAGAAAATACTGTGATAAAAACTACAGAGTTTATATCTTAAGTCAATTTTATAACCACTTTGGCTGGCTACTTGTGGTATAATCTCTGTATGATACGTCAGAACAATTTTATGAACTTTGAGATCTCTTCCAAGGTAGGCCATTTTATGATTCTATGGTATTTCTTAATTTTAGTAATCCCTCTGATTTTGGCTGAATATTGCTTCAGGTTGATTGTACTCCACGATTAGTAAAAAAGAAAACTCAAGAGACAGAAGCAGTACTCAATAGACTCAAACTAAACAAAGGTTTAGAATGAGACGCAAAACCCTTATTGTAGATCACTGGATTCAAAATTACTCATGCTACTGTATTAAGATATAGCCAAGTGTCTACCTTTTTGATCTTTATCCAATTCTAATGCTTATATACACACACACAGAAATGAGGGAAACATCTCAGCTATAATTAATCTGTATGCACAGAGTACAATAGATGTGCACAAGAAATTGTACACAACAATTATACAGTGAAGAATACAGTGAAGCTGAATGATTCATGCGTCTGGAATAACTCTTTTTATCTCCAGCAGATAAATTAGCCCATATTCACAGGATAGCTGCAAGGGTATGAGGCAGCAAAAGCCTGTGACTGGACTTTGCACCTAATAACCAAACTGAGAGGCTGCTAGAATGCCACATGGCAGCGAACAGAACTGCTGCTGCCATCACAACCTCCAAGGTCAGAAACCACAGAATTTTTACCACCCCATCCATATCTCCAGTGGAGAGGGCATCTCTGGACCTGCTGGGAGGAGAGAGATGGGAAGCACAGTACAAGAGATGTTTTTTATGACAAGACAAATCCTCTACCCAAACTACCTTGAAGAACCAAAAATTAGCAGGCAGCTTGGTGTGCTCCCAGCACATACTTGGCACGCCAGGCTAAACCACATGAGCCTTCTGGTCAAGCACAGCAGGTCAAAATTAGCAAACAGCCTACACTACCAGGGGCAGAGGCTGAGACAACCTCAAGGCAGGAAGATCAGTGTACAGGTATGAAAAAAACTGCCCAGGCTGT